ACCTCCCTGCATGTGACTTGCACAGCCTTCCATTAACACTTCCTGTAAAGAGAGCCCTATTTAGGCTTTCTTTATTGCAAGTTCTGTTTAATTAAGATTTTCTTATCCCCTGCTATGTTAATAGCTTGCTAGACCCTGCAAGAGCCTCCTGTATGTGATTAAAGTTCAATTTAGAGATTGAGGTACAATTATTTAAGGTAAATTACATCTGTTTGAAAATGAAACCAGTTTTTTTTTTCATGCAGGCTCTGTCAATCATAGCCAGGGGAGGTTTGGCTAGGGCTGCATAAACAGAAACAAAGTGATTTAACTCCTAAATGACAGTGAATTGAACAGTGAAATTGCAGGGGAATGATCTAATACACTAAAACTGCTTTATTTAGCTAAAGTAATTTAGGTGACTATAGTGTTCCTTTAAGTACTTGTATTGAGCTGCTAAAGTGGACCCGCATCGCCCCTTATATTTCCAACTACTACGCTTCTTTTGTCCAATAGGAGTCTGACAAAATGAACAGACTTTGCTTTCCTTAACCTCCATCTGTTTGCAACGAAGGCCTTGAACCGGGCCAACATGGTAGATAGGTGGGACACCAAGGGACCGGTCACACTTTCTAGCCAGGATGTCATGCCACAAATTTGTATTACCACAATGTTACTGATGAAATCCTGAGACAGGCTATAATTAGCATAGCAAATGGTTTCGGTGTATATGTATCTGAGAAGAAGAGATCGAGTCTCTAACTGGGAACAATTAAACCTGTATGGAAGATGTCATCTGCTCAGTTCAAACAAACAGTTTGGTTAGTACACAACCGAGCAGCCATTGAACCTGTAGGTGTTTGGCATCGCTCCCTTGTACACATTAATTTAGTCCAAGAGCCCCATGACTTGTTTTTTTTCTTAGCCAAATATTTATTTGCTGATGTTAAAGATCTGTACTTATTTTCTTGCACAGTACAATTATCTTTAAAATTCTGTCTAAATGTTATTTTATTTTTCCTCTGTTTCAAATGAGCCCCTCCTGGGTAGGAATATCAAATAAGAGAGTTTGCAAAAGTTCCTGCTTGAAGGAAGTCCCGTAATATTGGGTAAACAAGGGCGGATATATGTAAAGTCACATTTGGTGAATTGACACCAGTGTGTGTTTCAACATTCATTCAACATTGGTCATGTAAGGTCATGTTTAGACATGGTAATGATTAAATCTAAGGAAGAGACTATACTGGCGAATGCCAGGCATGATGGGTAAAAAAGAAACATCTTTAATTTATAAGTAAATATATATTCTACTTTCTTATCCCAATATAGATGCAATTAATCGACCACACCTAGAGCGGGGGCATCGTGACAGAAAGCCCCTGTTGACATGCAGCAAGTGAAAATGGATGAGGGACTTGGGGTCTATAAAAAGAGAGAAGTTGGTTATCTTAGGGCACTGAGACTGGGCAAGCTGAACCCTGTAGTTGTGTCTGGGGTGTGCAAAGGACAGGGGCATTACTTTTTTTTAGGAACGTATCTCCAACACCTAGTATTTGGGAGTTTTGAATGAAGATCAAGAAGATGTGCTGGGATAGAGTCTGCAGACCTATTGGCAGAGAGCGTAATCACTTGGGCCTGTAAGCCAAACGTCTTTGTACAGATGATATCATAATGTTTTGGCAGAGGGGGCTATACCTCCCATGGGAAAACCATTGGCAGAGGTGTTAACACCTGCCTGGAACAAGGATTATTTGGGAAATATATGCATGTCCTGTGGGTAGAGGGCAAGTGTCCTACATTATATTTTATATCTATAAAAAAGTTACAAATACTACATAATATGTTGGAGGACCATTCAGTTCTCCCTTTCTAAGAACAACAGAGTAAGGTGGTGTACAAGCCTTCTGTGCCTAATGCAAACCAATGGGAGGCCAAGGAATAACATTGCACATGTCACTGGACAAGACTCACCAGAGAGAGATTTGCAGGCTGTTCATTCTGATTGGTTGGTTTCCCAAGTCAATCTGTTAGCTGCTTTATAGGTATATCTGTTATTATGCATTTTCATATATACGTTATGTCAACATTGAGGAACTTGACAAAGGTCCTATTGTGGGTCGAAATGTTGTTTTGATTCTGCTCCAATAAATCTGCCCACTGGATTGAATTTGAGTGCCTGGACCATCATTACTTTTTTGCAAATCACATTGTGAGGATTGGACAACCTCAGGCCAGGTTGCACCCTGGGATCCAGGAAAGTGCGGTATCCATATTGGTAATAACACTGAGGAACCTTGAATGTTGTTTGCAAATCAGAAACTCGTTTTTACACAGTGATTACAATGATGCGGGAATTGGCTCTGATAAAGACTTGCCGCGCATGCACACTAGGTCTCCCTTGCCGGCTGACGTCGGTGGGGGAGGAGCATGGGCAGAGCCTGACCCAGAGCCGAGGGGCAACAGCGCTGGATTCAGGCAAGTGACTGAAGGTTTTAACCAGTGCTGAAGGATGGGGGCACTGTAGGAACCTATAGTGCCAGGAAAATAGCTTTGTATTCCTGGCACTATGGAATCCCTTTAAGGAACAATTATTTTATTTAATATAAAGAATTAATGTTTTAAACATTTAAATCACAAAATTCAAAGTTACGAAACCTGTTTTTTATGTATCTCGCACCTGACACCTCATCTCGCCTGTAGGCAAAGGGGGTGTACCTTCTCCTTTCCTTACTAGGCAGGAAACTAGCACAAGAATTTATTTTCTTTATATAAAGAATATCATATTAGCCTTTGGAGCTACCTTTTCGAATATCTTGCCACCACGCCCTTTAACCTTTTTTAATCAGCGTTCCATTTTGTTTTGTTTTGTATTTTGTACTTTCTATGAATTTGCTGATATTTATTGCATAATGCTGCACCTGTGTATCGGTTATGCAAGTGTTTTTTGTAATATGCTTTGTAAAAAGGAAACAAAATAAAATCTATTCTCAATGTAGGTTATAGAACAGGCCTGCAGGAGATAAGAAGTTCTGATAAGAAATTCTAAATTAAACAGAATGTGCAATACTTTAAACATTAGATCTCACTTTACAAGAAGTGTTTAGGAAGGACGTGCTTGTTATTTGCAGGGAGGTGTGACTAGGGCTTTATAAAAAAAATAAAAAAATTTAACCTAAATGGCAGAGAATTGAGCAGTGAGACTGAAGGGGCATGGTATGTACACTAAAACGGCTTCATTAAGCTAAAGTTGGTTTGGTGACTATAGCATCACTTTAATTCTGGGATAGAGTTAATGCTGTTTTAGGCGTATTGACTTAAATTTAGGGTAGCTACATGGTTAGAATTATCGTAAGCATCGGGTTTGGGGTAAGGTTGGTATAAGGTTAACGTTGGCTACCAAAAATTTAGCTGGATGCTCCACGTATGAGTCATTTAACAATCAGGATTTATTACATTAATCTATTTTAAGGTTTGTTTTCTCTAGTTGCAGTGATGTGTGAAAATTATAACAAGTAAAACTGTGAAAAAATGTGTTTCTTTTTTCCTTTTATAACATTGTATTCACACTTTATGTCATATATATATATATATATATATATATATATATATATATGATAACAATAGTGATTTCTGTTCTTTTATGAAACAATATATAACATGTATGAGAGCATTTGAAGAGAACCCTTATATTACACTGGAACAAACACACAGCACAAATTAAACGTTTTGTTTTGATTCAGAAGTTGGAGAATTTCCTCCATCCTTAAAGAGTTAAGGCACTTTTGTTTCTGTTTATGCAATGCTAGCCACACCTCCCCTAGCTATGACTCACGTAGCCTCCATAAAAAAAGAAGTTTCATTTTCAATCAGATCTTACAGCACAGTGTGTTTAATTGTTTTGGTGCGTAGAGTGTCCCCATACTGTGTTTGACTATATATTAGAGTGTAACCTCTGCAGAGCAGGAAATGGGCAGGATACGGCTCAGCTGCTCCCGCAATAGATGTACACCTGTCTAAAAAGTATCATCCCATACTCTACTGCATTCATTGTAGCATGTAGGCTTTGCAGAGCAGAATAAAGTCCGACTGCTCCTGAATTAGAGCACCATGTTTTCATAGGGTATGATCTGATATTTCCCTATATTCTGTGTCTGATTGTACATTAAAGTGCAAACAGCAGTATAAAGTTCAACTGCTCCTGAATTACAGCGCCATGATTCTATAGCACATGGTCCCATACTTGTGCGCAATCTGCGTCTGACTGCATATTAGAGTGTAAGCTCTGCAGAGGATGATGGCGTTTGACTGCTCCTGAATTACAACTCCACCAGTCTATAGGGCATGATACCAGCCGCCTGTGGTGTTCTGTGTAAAAGCAACACTTCAACCTTATTACAAGCTCTTTTTGACTTAAAGGAATACTATAGTGACAGGAATACAAATGTGTATTTATTTTCTCTGAAAAGGCAGTGTTACCTGAAAATGCCTGCAGGGACAGGCTGTGAACACCAGAACAACTACATTAGGCTGTAGTTGTTCTGGTGACTATAGTGTCCCTTTAAGGTTGAAACATTGCCGGCTCTACTCTGGTGGAACAAATCTCATTCATTACAATTCTCTTTGTTGCGACTCCATTATTTATGGCTTTATTTATTATTATTTATGGAGTCTTTTGAGGCTATTGTTGGGAACCTGCACCCGGCTATATCGCTCAAAGTACCGGTACCCCTGATCTATCTTTCAGTTTGCATTTTCCTGTGGTATTCTCTTCCTGACTGTAGATTAGAGTGCAAGCTCTGCAAAGCAGGATTACTGCCTCCCCTAAGCTCCTGACCTGTTATACTGTATCTCTGCATTTAAATTCAAGTGTCAGCCCTGTATGGTAGAAATATTTAGCCATATTTTATATTTCCATACTCCGGCAACTCCTCCCTATCCCACCTCCCTACCTCTCTTGTTCCTTACCTCTCCCCGTCTCTCCTTTCCTTCTCTCTTCTGTGTCTCTTCCCTCCCTCCCTCATCCCCCTTCTCTCTCAGACACACACAGATTGTGACGTTTGGTTATGCAATGTCTGACCCACTAACACACATTCTCAGAGAGAGAGAGCGGAGAGAGAGAAAGAGAGAGAAGAGCGGTGCCAGGAAAGTAGAGCACAGAGAAAAGGAGGAGGAGATAGAGAAAAAGGCTGAGAGAAAACAACAGAGAAATAGGAGGAGGAGGGCGAAAATCAGAGTGTTACTGGAACAGAGAAATAGAGACAAAGAAAGGATAGGAAATAGAGGTGAACTGTGTGAGGACAGGGCACTGGATACATCTGGCAGGTAAATGTACCAGGGATTGGTAGTATAGTAGCTGTGTGTATGTACAGTGCATGCCACCTGTGTGGAAGCAAGGATGTGCATGTGTGGCTACAATTTGTATGCTCACAATTCACATCCACATACATCAGGGTATCTGTACGTGTGCATGCTGTGTCTGTGTGTGGTTGGTATGTTCGTTTTTTTTTTGTGTGTGTGTGTGTATCTATATCCATTTATCTATCTACGCACCCATTTACATTTGTAAGCGTACAAATAAATGTTTTATAATTGTGTGTATATGTGTATCTATCTTGTATTAAATATTATTCCATTACCATTAAATTATATTTACCATTAAATTATATTTACCTAAAACACACATTTCTGAATTGACACGCGTGTACACATATATGAGTGCAGCATATACAGTGTTTACCTGTATGCATGTACTCCCAGTTGCGTGCATTGTATGTGTAAATTGAGGTGAATGGTGTGTACATCTTTGTTATGCTTGTTTATATTACATGCCTATTATGTAAGAATGCATGGTGATTATAACAATGTAATGTATCTTTAATGTATAATTATAATGAGAGATCAGCAATTAGCACATACAGGCTTGGGTTCATTTTAGTTTATGGGTACAATGAAATCTGGAGAGAACAAATATTGGTGTAAAATAATTTGGGGAGAATTACAGGCTTTTAGAAAGGGGACTCCTGTTTCAAGAGATTACACTCTAATATTTTTTATTTATGGCATTGGAGTAATACAGGGCACAGGAGACATTTCTTCCAAGCTTACCATCATCATTTTAGGAAGCAGGACAGGCAGAGGATGGGACATTGGAAGGGAATAGTTTTGTTCTGCAGAGTATTGAATGCAGGAGGATTCAGCATGTAGCTCTCTAGCTGTTGTTGAACTATAACTCCCATGACTCTCCAGCAGCCTTTTCCAGGCAGCCAGGAATCAAACAATAGGTGTCTGATGATTATGGGTAATTATCCAACCAGCACAACTTGTGTAATATAGAAATTGGGGTATATTTACTAAACTGTGTGTTGTGAAGAATTTACATAAGAATAGCCATTTTTTTGCCAAAATGGAGAAGTAACTGAATTTTAGTTTATTTAATCCATCTAGTTTGACCAAAATGTCCAATCCTCTTATCATGTACCCACAATTTACAGATTAAGGAATGAACCCCTGTAGAGTACACAGAATTCTATATAGCAGAGCTTACAGTCTAACATACAGAGCATTACACTCAAATATAGAGTTAGTACTCTAAGATATAGTACATAAAATCTCCTATACAGGCACTGCATTCAAATACACAGATCTTATCTTGTGTTGTAATATACAGAGCTTTACACTCAAATATAGAGTTAGTATTCTAATATATAGTACATAAGTTTCCATGCCAGTATGCAGCGCTTACAAGACAGTATATTTTCAAGTGTACAGAGCTTACACTCTAAATATAATAACCAAACTCAGTTTACTTAAAAAAAATAATGAATGGGAAACATGTATTGTAGCGCTTCTATTCTAGAATATATAAATATCTGAGAGAAGGGAATCTTGTTCTGTGGAGATCAACTCGTAATATTCGAAGAACTCAGCAGTGAACTCTATGCAGTATTGTTGAGTCACTGTATTTTAGAATGTAAGCTCCACAGGACACAATTCCTTTCTCCCACTTGTATACATTATACACCATAATCTAGAATGTATAAGTAGGTAGCTGAAGATCTTACACTGTAAAATATAGATAATTCAACAGCACTGTGATTGTTGCGGAGTCCATATAACCTTTATAGAGAAAGAACTCTACAACGCAAGATTCTCTTTGTCAAACACTTAGATGTTCCAAAATATAAGTTCTTCATGGCTTTATTACATACGCTTCCTGGCCTGCCAAAGGACAACGGGAGATATTTTCCTGGGGCAGCAACTGCTTTTTAGAGCTGCCGCCATTAATTGGCCCTTTTTCCCTTTCGGATGTTATCCATATGCTAGTAGATGAGCTAGGGAGATAAAACAATGAGATACAGTGTCTCCAGCTCATCACCCTGCACGTCACACATGCGGCATGGCATAGTAAGAGTTGCCTTCTGGGTCATTGCATAGTTTGCAAAGATCCCTGATGGTGACATCGCCGCCTGGTGTGGGTGTCCCAAAGGTGAGTTATACGTATCTGGTGCTGCTCTCCGCAGATGCTGCCATGTTCAATCTCCAGCCTCTGGAGCTTTATTCTCCAAGACCCCATGTCAGTGCCGTACCCTCGTGCATGTGTGAGAAAACACAACACTGATGTCTATGGAGGTTCTAGAGAGACCGCAGGATCCTCCAGAGATATTGTCTAGAGATAAGCAAGACAATGCCAAATTCCCACAGATATCGCTATCGATGGCTGTGGGAAGTGACAAAACCTGACCACGGTAGCTCCAACCTAGTCAGGTTTTTTCAACTCGAGGATTTACCATAAGACAAAGAAGTCTCTACCTATAATATATTCTGACTGTTTTGAAATGTCAATTAAATTCCAGCACAGTCCATATGGGAATTTCAAAAAGATTTTATTTTTATGTATTACTCCACAATTTTTGGGGAGTGACAGAGTCCCCTTAAGAACAGAAAATGAAACATAAAAAATACATAATGCAGAACTGTGTTCATTGAAAAGCTTATTAAACCTCTGTGTGACATTGTTTTCCCATAATATTCATTTCAGTATTATGCATCCTGTCTATTTCTGACTTTGTTCTGTGTATACATGCAAAGAAATTCCTGCTTGCTGGCCTATTAAATGGGACACACACAAGGTTAGAGGGCAGAGATTGTCAGGAACCTGAACAATTTGTATAATTTGAGACTCTTTTAAGTGAGTTTCCCAATACTTCAGCACAAACTTCCTTAAACTATGACTTACACCAAAAATTATTCACGTGTCTATACAAGTACACGTGCACTCAGATTCCGTATATCATTTCTCCCCCATCCATTGTTATCATCCGCCCTGTTTCTTCAGTGTTTAATGTTTCAGCTATTACTAAACATAAAATGTCACTGTTTCTGTATATTAGGTGTAATTCTAAAAAGTTTTTAAAATAATTAGGAAGAGACAAAAGTATAAACACAAGATCCACACTTTGGGCCCAAATCCCTCTGTTCCTCTTTTATATCCTAATATTGTTGGTGTGTCTGAGTGTATAACAGAGCTACACAGCAATAATATCCCCAGTAATGTGTCTTTAAATTACAGTAAATGTGTTTACAAACCACTCTGTGAAAATAGGATACTTTGTTCTTGTTCTAAATTATATTTTAGTTGTATAAATTATCAGTAAACACCTAAAATTTCTAAGAGCAACCTTGCCTGTGGCAGGGCCGGTGTGTCCATAAGGCGGCACAGGCGGCCGCCTTAGGGCGCACGGGCTCTGGGGGCGCAATATTTCAGTGACCGGCAGGAGGGAAGCTCTCCCTCCTGCCAGGCCACCATCTCGGCGTGGCAGTGCTGTGATCAGGCGCGGCGAGGGAGCTCTAATCTGCACCCTCTGCTCCCTCGCACGCTGTCTGCTGATGCCGCGGGAGCCGGAATATGACGTCATCAGTAGGCAGCCCGCGGCGTCAGTAGGCAGCCCACAAGGGAGCAGAGGGTGGAGATTAGAGCTCCCTCGCCGCGCCTGATCACAGCACTGCTGCACGCCTCCCAGCAGCCCCAGGGACCGATCCATCATCCACACCAGCTCTCCAGGTAGGGAGGCTGGGTGGAAAATGTGTATTTATAAAATAATTAGTGAATGTATGTGATGTGTGTCTGTGAGTGACAGAGTGTGTGTGTCTGTGAGTGACAGTGTGTGTGTCTGTGAGTGACAGAGTGTGTGTGTCTGTGAGTGACAGTGTGTGTGTGTCTGTGAGTGACAGAGTGTGTGTGTGTGTCTGTGAGTGACAGTGTGTGTGTGTCTGTGAGTGACAGAGTGTGTGTGTCTGTGGTGACAGTGTGTGTGTGTCTGTGAGTGACAGTGTGTGTCTGTGTGACAGTGTGTGTGTGTCTGTGGTGACAGAGTGTGTGTGTCTGTGGTGACAGTGTGTGTGTGTCTGTGGTGACAGTGTGTGTGTGTGTCTGTGGCGACAGTGTGTGTGTGTCTGTGGTGACAGAGTGTGTGTGTCTGTGGTGACAGTGTGTGTGTGTGTGTGTGTCTGTGGTGACAGGTGTGTGTGTGTGTGTCTGTGGTGACAGAGTGTGTGTGTGTCTGTGGTGACAGTGTGTGTGTGTCTGTGACAGAGTGTGTGTGTCTGTGGCGACAGTGTGTGTGTGTCTGTGAGTGACAGAGTGTGTGTGTCTGTGAGCGACAGTGTGTGTGTCTGTGAGTGACAGTGTGTGTGTGTCTGTGAGTGACAGAGTGTGTGTGTCTGTGAGCGACAGAGTGTGTGAGTGACAGTGCGTGTGAGTGACAATGTGTGTGTGTCTGTGAGTGACAGTGTGTGTGAGTGACAAAGTGTGTGTGTCTGTGAGTGACAGTGTGTGTGAGTGACAAAGTGTGTGCGTCTGTGAGTGACAGTGTGTGTGAGTGACAAAGTGTGTACTTCTGTGAGTGACAGTGTGTGTAAGTGACAAAGTGTGTGTTAGTGACAAAGTGTGTGTGTCTGTGAGTGACAGTGTGTGTGAGTGACAGTGTGTGTGTGTGAGTGACAGTGTGTGTGTGTCTGTGAGTGATTGTATGAGTGTGTGTGCATGTGAGTGTATGAGTGTGTCTGTCAGTGTATGATGAGTGTGTTTGTCAGTGTATGAGTGTGTGTCTGTCAAATCAGTGAGAGTATGTTTGTCATTGAGTCTGTGTGTGACTATCAGTGTGTCTGTCAATGAGTGTCAATCAGTGTGGGTCTGTCAGTGTCAATGAATGAGTGTGTGTCAGACCAATGAGTCTGTGTCTGTCAGTGACGTCTGTGTGTTTGTCATTGAGTGTGTGACTGTCAGTGTGTACAGAGTGTAGCGGAGCAGAGCGCGGTACAGGAACTTCTGTTTCCTGTACCTGGCCAGACTGACAGGAGGTGCTCACAGAGAGAGCACTCCCTGTCAGTCCGGGCGGGTACAGAAAACTGAAGCTCCTTTAGGGGATCTGCTCCACTCGGCAATGCAACAATAGAGGTAGGAGGCACACCAGGAAGGGGAGTGTGACCACTAACGGGGTGTGGGGTGCACCAAGGGACAGGGAGGGAATGGGAGAGAAACACCAAGAGACAGGGAAAAGAGGGGGGAGGGGAGAAGAACACTAAGGGACAGGGAAGGGAATGTACTACTAATGGTCAGGGAGGGGAGAGGGGCTGGTTAAAAGGCACATAGGTGAAGATAGTTTTTGGGGAATGCATCTTCACCTATGTACCTAAAAATCCAAGCACCGGTCCTGGCCTGTGGCCACACCTTCACCACACACCTAAAATTCAAGTGCCCCTCTTTGTCCATTTGAAATGTTGGGTGGTGTAGGAAAGCTGAAATATGTGTGCAGATATTGGTCAATGCAGTCTGGCAGTGAGTGGGTGCAGTAGATGCAGTTTGGCAGTGAATGGGTGCCTGGATTCTGCCTGGCAGTGAGTGGGTGCAGTCTGGTAGTGAATTGATGTAGTAGGTACAGTCTGGCTGTGACCAGGTACAGTCTGACAGTGAATGGATGTGTGGGTACAGTCTGGCAGTGAATGGGTAAAGCCTGGCAGTGAATGGGTGTGTGGCTGGAGCCTGGCAGGGGTAATGGGTGTGTGGGTGCAGCCTGGCAGTGGATGGGTACAGCCTGACAGTGAATGGGTGCAGCCTGGCAGTGGGTGGGTGCAGTCTGGTAGTGGATTGGCACAGCCTGGCAGTGAATGGGTGCAGTCTGGCATTGGATGGGTGCAGTCTAGCAGTGGATGGGTGCAGTTTGGCAGTGAATTGGTGCAGTCTGGCAGTGAATGGGCACAGTCTGGCAGTGAATGGGTGTGTGGATGCAGCCTGGCAGTGAATGGGGTGTGTGTGTGCAGTCTGGCAGTTAATGGGTACAGCCTGCCAGCGGATGGGTGTGTGGGTGCAGCCTGGCAGTGAATGTGTGTTTTGGTGCAGCCTGGCAGTGAATGGATGCAGTCAGGCAGTGAATGGGTGTGTGGGTGCAGCCTGGCAGTAAATGGGTGTGTGGGTGCAGCCTGCCAGTGGATGGGTGTGTGGGTGCAGCCTGGCAGTTAATGGGTGTGTTGGTGCAGCCTGGCAGTGAATGGGTGTGTGGGTGCAGCCTGGCAGTTAATGGGTGCAGTCTAGCAGTGAATGGGTGTGTGGGTGCAGCCTGGCAGTGAATGGGTGCAGTCTAGCAGTGAATGGGTGTGTGGGTGCAGCCTGGCAGTGAATGGGTGTGTGGGTGCAGCCTGGCATTGAATGGGTGCAGCCTGGCATTGAATGGGTGCAGTCTGGCAGTTAATGGGTGTGTGGGTGCAGCCTGGCGGTGCAGCCTGGCAGTGAATATGGGGTGTGGGTGCAGCCTGGCAGTTAATGGGTGCAGCCTGGCAGTGAATGGGTGTGTGGGTGCAGCCTGGCAGTTAATGGGTGCAGCCTGGCAGTGAATGGGTGTCTGGGTGCAGCCTGGCAGTGAATGGGTGTGTGGGTGCAGCCTGGCAGTGAATGGGTGTGTGGATGCAGCCTGGCACTGAATGGGTGCAGCCTGGCAGTGAATGGGTGTGTGGGTGCAGCCTGGCATTGAATGGGTGCAGCCTGGCAGTGAATGGGTGTGTGGCTGCAGATGTTCCCTGGATACATTGATACATTGATACATTGTTACAGGGCACTGGGTCTCTGGCGGGATGCCCTCAGGTCTGTTTACCGAACACTGACCTACTTTCCTTGCCTCGCGCTGGCTCGTCACATGGCAGGGAGATCAGGCACGTGGACTGGGGAAAGAGGGCGGGAGGAGGAAGAAGGGTGTGAATACATACAGACACACTGACACACATACTGCTCTGCACACACTGACACACATACTGCTCTGCACACACACATACTGCTCTGCACACACTGACACACATACTGCTCTGCACACACACATACTGCTCTGCACACACTGACACACATACTGCTCTGCACACACATACTGCTCTGCATACACTGACATACTGCTCTGCACACACTGACACACATACTGCTCTGCACCCACACACTGCTCTGCACACACTGACACACATACTGCTCTGCACCCACACATACTGCTCTGCACACACTGACACATACTGCTCTGCACACACACATACTGCTCTGCACCCACTGACACACATACTGCTCTGCACCCACACATACTGCTCTGCACCCACACATACTGCTCTGCACACACTGACACATACTGCTCTGCATATACTGACACATACTGCTCTGCACACACTGACACATACTGCTCTGCATACACTGACACACATTGCTCTGCGCACACACACACATACTGCTCTTCACACACTGACCCATTGCTCTGCACACACTGACACAAAGCTGTGCACACACTGATACACATTCTGCTCTGCAAACACAGACACACATACTGCTCTGCACACAGACTGTGCTGTACAAACACACATTCTGCTCTGCACACACTGACACACATACTGCTCTGCACACACTGACACATACTGCTCTGCACACACTGACACATACTGCTCTGCATACACTGACACACACTGCTCTGCGCACACACACACATACTGCTCTTCACACACTGACACAATTCTCTGCACACACTGACACACATACTGCTCTGCACACACACATACTGCTCTGCATACACTGACACACACTTCTCTGCGCACACACACACACATACTGCTCTTCACACACTGACACACATTCTGCTCTGCAAATACGGACACACACTGCTCTGCACACAGACTGTGCTGTACAAACTGATACACATTCTGCTCTGCACACACTGACAATTCTCTGCACACACTGACACACATACTGCTCTGCACACACTGATACATATATTTATCTGCACACACGACACACATACTGCTCTGCACACACGACACACATTGCGCTGAACACATTGACACACACATTGCTTTGCACACAGACTGATCTGCAAACACTGACACACATACTGCTCTGCAAACAACCACACTCATACTGCTCTGCAATTAGAGAGTGCAAATGACTGCTCTGCACATACTGCTCTGCAAACAGGGGACCTGGAGACTGCCATACACCAGAGAGTGATAATCAGGCAGGGGGCTTTTCAGACAAGGACATGCCTGCTAGGTGTATGTCTGGGGAATGAGTGACCCTCATTATGTGAGGAGCCACACTCACATACTGGTACACATTATACATGCTAAATGAGTGCAGCCACTCACATACTGGTACACATTATACACACTAAATGAGTGCAGCCACACTGGCATACTGGTACACATTATACAAGCTAAATGAGTGCAGCCACTCACATACTGGTACACATTATACACGCTAAATGAGTGCAGCCACTCACATACTGGTACACATTATACACGCTAAATGAGTGCAGCCACTCACATACTGGTACACATTATACATGCTAAATGAGTGCAACCACACTGGCATACTGGTACACATTATACACGCTAAATGAGTGCAGCCACACTCACATACTGGTACACATTATACACGCTAAATGAGTGCAGCCACTCACATACTGGTACACATTATACAAGCTAAATGAGAGCAGCCAAACGCACATACTGGTACACATTATACACGCTAAATGAGTGCAGCCACACTCACATACTGGTACACATTATACATGCTAAATGAGTGCAGCCACTCACATACTGGTACACATTATACACACTAAATGAGTGCAGCCACACTGGCATACTGGTACACATTATACAAGCTAAATGAGTGCAGCCACTCACATACTGGTACACATTATACACGCTAAATGAGTGCAGCCACTCACATACTGGTACACATTATACACGCTAAATGAGTGCAGTCACTCACATACTGGTACACATTATACATGCTAAATGAGTGCAACCACACTGGCATACTGGTACACATTATACACGCTAAATGAGTGCAGCCACACTCACATACTGGTACACATTATACACGCTAAATGAGTGCAGCCACTCACATACTGGTACACATTATACAAGCTAAATGAGAGCAGCCAAACGCACATACTGGTACACATTATACACGCTAAATGAGTGCAGCCACACTCACATACTGGTACACATTATACACGCTAAATGAGTGCAGCCCACTCACATACTGGTACACATTATACACGCTAAATGAGTGCAGCCAAACTCACATACTGGTACACATTATACACGCTAAATGAGTGCAGCCACTCACATACTGGTACACATTATACACGCTAAATGAGTGCAGCCACACTCACATACTGGTACACATTATACACGCTAAATGAGTGCAGCCACACTCACATACAGGTACACATTATACACGCTAAATGAGTGCAGCCAAACTCACATACTGGTACACATTATACACGCTAAAAGAGTGCAGCCAAACTCACATACTGGTACACATTATACACGCTAAATGAGTGCAGCCAAACTCACAAACTGGTACACATTATACACGCTAAATGAGTGCAGCCACTCACATACTGGTACACATTATACACGCTAAATGAGTGCAGCCACTCACATACTGGTACACATTATACACGCTAAATGAGTGCAGCCACTCACATACTGGTACACATTATACACGCTAAATGAGTGCAGCCACTCACATACTGGTACACATTATACACGCTAAATGAGTGCAGCCACACTCACATACTGGTACACATTATACACGCTAAATGAGTGCAGCCACTCACATACTGGTACACATTATACACGCTAAATGAGTGCAGCCAAACTCACATACTGGTACACATTATACACGCTAAATGAGTGCAGCCACACTCACATACTGGTACACATTATACACGCTAAATGAGTGCAGCCACACTCACATACTGGTACACATTATACACGCTAAATGAGTGCAGCCACACTCACATACAGGTACACATTATACACGCTAAATGAGTGCAGCCAAACTCACATACTGGTACACATTATACACGCTAAATGAGTGCAGCCAAACTCACATACTGGTACACATTATACACGCTAAATGAGTGCAGCCAAACTCACAAACTGGTACACATTATACACGCTAAATGAGTGCAGCCACTCACATACTGGTACACATTATACACGCTAAATGAGTGCAGCCACTCACATACTGGTACACATTATACACGCTAAATGAGTGCAGCCACACTCACATACTGGTACACATTATACACACTAAATGAGTGCAGCCACACTCACATACTGGTACACATTATTTGTGTGTATGTGATTGACACAAATTTCTCATAATCCCCACCAGTGAGGGCTATGGTTTATAAACATTAGAAGAATATATGTTGCTTCAATCTGTGATATATATATATATATAACACCACATACGTAATCACCAGCTAGCTGTGTATGTAATAACAGCCTGTTACAAAATAAAGTACTCGATGTTATTGACATTGTAAGTAAACCAGGTCAAATGCGAGATGTTCTGTGCCACGCTCCTCCCCTCTCAGGGTCAGATTATGTAAGATGTTTTAAGGTGTGTTATCACAACTGCACTTTTCCAATAGTTTTTTTTGTGTGTGTTTCTTTAGGCGTGTCTAGGAAAGCAAAAATAACCTGCCGGTGTGTTAACGAGGCAATCCGAGTCTGACTGTGGATGGAGGAGAACGTTAACCTCTTTACAGCAAGTTACTCGACTGACGAGTGGTCTACAAATAAAAGAGAGCAGGACTGTTTGGAATTACGAAGAAACACAACAGGCGAATAAACAAGAATATACACAATAAAGACATATTCTTTATTTTCAGCCATCCGTTTTCTAAGGAAGGTCCTGGAAAATGCTAACAAGCCAAAAACTGAATCACACCTCTACAAACCAAATAAAGAGACTGCATTGTACCTGAACATTCTCGAGTCTAACAGAATTTTTTTTTAGTACAACCACCTTGATTTTCTGCAAACAGCAGTCTTAAAGTGAAAAGAAACAAATCAGGACATCATGGATTCGTCAGATGACAGCTATCCACAGAGCAGTGAAGAGCAACGGGCGAGAAACAGAGCCAATGGAGCTCAAGGAGGAGGTGGACGTCGTAAACGAGAGTTCATATCGGATGAGAAAAAGGATGCCAGCTACTGGGAAAAGCGCAGAAAAAACAATGAAGCAGCCAAGAGGTCTCGAGAGAAGAGACGTTTTCATGACCTAGTTCTGGAAGGGAGAGTTGCAGCACTGGATGAGGAGAACGGGCGACTTCGAAGTGAATTATTGCAGCTCAAGTTGCGCTATGGCCTCATCTCAGCAGCCTCCTTCCTAGAGTCTGGGCAAGGCATAGGAACACGTAAATCTGTGGACTCAGAAAGTATGCTTTGTGGTAGTGGTGGAAACCGATCTTATACCTCATCCTACTTGGGGATGAACTCTGATTCCTCAGAAGCAGACAGTGGAGGGGGTGCAGCAATGGACGAGTACTCCCCACGAGGTTCAATCTCTGATCTCTCAGATCAGTCCCCCATAGACAGTCCTGGACCCAGCACTTATGGAAAAGGAAGGGCATTTGACAATGATCTTGCTCACCTGTGCCCGTCTGAAAACAATGAAACTATGAGACTGGCAGCACCGCGTAGTGGAGTTATATTGTACAGGGTTGGGGGGCTTACCTTGGACCCTCAAGAAACACATACCCAAGATGTCAAACTAGCATCTGTTTCGGCATTCAACACTCAAGAGAATGAGTGCCATGTACCCCCACTCCGCTCCTCCATTTTTGTTCACACAGACAATTCTCAGCCACCTTTCCAGCATCTGGTGAAGGCAACAGAAGCTGATATAAGAGGTGTTCTCGTATCTCCAAAATCTCCACACTCAGGGTACCAAAGTGAGGACAGTTGCGGCGAGGAGGGGGGTAACATTTGCTGCCCTTCTGAATGCCGACCCCATCAAGATGCAGCACTTGGTGTCAAGTTGCCACACAAATTAAGACTGAAGTGTCGGGCTCATGGACATGATGTGTGGGGGCCTGGAAGAGGACACGGGGTTGAGGGACAGAACTTTTTGGCAGGAAATGCATGATGATGCAGTATAAGGACAAAAGACAGTGAGCCATCTGCTATCCTATACCTATCTGTGCCACACTTGTGACTGTTGCATTGGCTGGTTGCTAAAGATTTAAACCATCACTGTGACACTATTGAGTGCCAGGGGTTTTCATAGGGTGAATTGGGGCTAATGAGAGATGGAGGGTGAACAGAACGTTATTGTAAATATTTAATGTTATTAGTACAATAAAATGAAATAATAATATCCACTGTTTAGTTATTGTGTGTTATCTCGGAACTGTGGGGAGTCTTATATAAATTAAAGTATGTATAATGAGAATTTACATGGGCCAAGAGAATGGGTATATAGAGAGTCTGTATGGTTTAATAGGTTAACTAGTGTGGTTTTATGTGTTATATATATATATATATATATATATATATATATGTAACAATAGGAGGGATTTTTGGGAGAGGATATATTGAATAATAGGATGAGTTATATGGAGAGGTTCTATTGAGTAATAGGAGAAGTTATAGAGAGAGGTTATATGGGGTAATAGGCGGAGTTATAGGGAGAAATTATGGATTAATAGGGAGAGATTAAATGGAATAATAGGAGGAGTTATGGAGAGAGGTTATATGGGGTTATAGGAGGAGTTATAGGGAGAGGTTATGTGGAATAATAGGAGGAGCTATGGAGAGAGGTTATATGGGGTTATAGGGAATAATAGGAGTTATAGAGAGGTTATATGGAACAATAGGAGGAGTTATAGAGAGAGGTTATATGGGGTTATAGGACGAGTTATAGAGTGAGGGGATATGGAGTAACAGGCGGTGTTATAGGGAGAGATAATATGCAGTAATAGGAGGGGTTATATGGAGTAATAGGAGGAGTTATAGGGAGTAATAGGAGGGGTTATAGGGAGAGGTTATATGGATTAATAGGAGGAGGTATAGAGAGAGGTTATATGGAGTTATAGGGAGAGATAATATGGAGTAATAGAAGGAGTTATAGAGAGAGGTTATATGGTAAAAAGAGGAGTTATAGGGAGAGCAATAGGAGAAGTTATATAGAGGAATAGAAGTCATAGAGAGAGGTTATATGGAATAATAGGAGCTCTAGGAAGCGGTTATATGGGTTATATGGAGTAAACGAGAATTTACATGGAGTAATAGGTATAGATTATATATGTGTTCAATCGAAATTAAAATGTTTTATAAAGTTCTCTGCTGGTTTTTCCACTTGTGCTAATGTGCCAGCATCTTAGCGTTACTAGGTCAGGTATAAGTGGGTCAAATTCTTGTCCAGCTGGCAGGGGGCCTAACATTGTGTGCCAGCAGCAGGAAACACCTATTATATAAAACATGATAAACAGAGAAAGCAAGAGAATGAGTTGCACAAATAATAATAGGCACACTGGTATACAAAATAAGAGATCGGTGGGACAGATTTAATGTAGAAAGCAAGAGAAAAATCGACAGTGCTTTCATGCTTTTCTGTTTTGTTAGCTTATATTTCTTACAAGTAACTAACTCTTGCAGTTTGGCCTCATATAAACCATTTATTTATTTGTTTTATTTTTACCATGTTTTACTTTGGAATATAAACTGGGATTTTTTGTTTTATTTTTTCCAGTATGTCCTGGGAAAGTGTTACATTCCGTTGGCATCTAGCCCAAATTGAACACACATAAACAAGTAGTGTGTAAGTGGGAATAGAGGACAAACAAACACACACATATGGACACACCAAAGTACAACACACAAAACACAAACAAACAAAAACAGGCCCAGATGAACATACAATTATCATAAAAGCATATGTGCATATCAATTCACAAACAATTCACACACTAACATACAAACATACTGAAACCTAAACAAACACGCACAATTATAAAACATGTAATTAACCACACATTTACTACTTGTTGTACATATGCATGCAGACTCAATTTTAAACAGAACATACATAAACAAACAGTGCAGCACATACATAAATGTATGCTACACATAATCAAGCACACACAAACCATACACAAGCACACACATTGTATAAAACAAACACAAATGCACAAATATAACTGAACATGCACACAAAGCACCATACACCACACATAAAAACATGCATACATAAATGAACATAAGCAAGCGAGCATACAAAAATCATGAAGCAGTGTATACACATATAGACTCAAATGTACGTATATAAACACAACAAAGAAACACATTTATACACAAAATGTGAACAAGTATAACATATAAGCCACTCCACATACATGATACATACACAAAAAGCAACGTAAAGGTGAGGAAGCATTTAACAAAATATATACAACACACATAAATGGTCCAGTGGAGTGACATCACAGCTGGGAGGAAGTGACTGCCTTACACACAGCACCGCGCATGAGGAAGAGTAGGGAGTCAGAGTGGGAACTCTGACTCCCATCAGGCTGAGCCACCACTGGACCCCAGGGAAAGTCACCCTCCTGCACCTAAAAGGTAGGAAACAGGAGGGTGATTAAAGTATTTTGGATATGTGTGTGTGTGTTTGTTTGTATGTATGTATGTATGTATGTGTGTGTGTTTGTGTATGCGTGTCTGCATGAATGTTTCTCTGTATGTGTGTGTGTATGTCTGTCTGTATATGTGCCTGTAAGTGTGTGTCTCTGTATATGTGTGTGTCTCTGTGTATCTGTTTGTCTGCATGTGTGGTCGGGCATTCTATGGGAGGATAGACGTATGAGGGGGGTTTTCACACCGGGGTCCCGTGATTTCTTGTTACGCCTCTGGTGGGAAGTCAAAAGAATATCGGGGATAAAATAGTGTTTCTTTATTTCTGTAATGGATTTTAGTTTTGCAGGGCGCCTCATTGGTAGTTGTTTGGCGAAATTAACTTGAGCGCATATAGGCATCTCAAAAATGGGTCTGGTTTGAAATCTGCCCTGTTTTAGCAGGTTTTGCACATGCCTAGTGTCCTTTTAGATGGAATTTCCATCGAGTTGCCTTTCAGGCAGCAGACCCAGCTACCCACGAGTGGAGGCATGCTATTCTCCTCTCTATTAAGGCCATCATTGACTAGTAGCACCAGATGGTGGGGTTACAGTGCCCCACAGGAGAGAGAGTTTCTTGGCCCCTGCTAAATTTAAATGTATAATAGTATCTTTTTCTCTCCCTCAAAAGTGACTGCTTGAGGGCTGATTAAGCAAGGGCATTTATTCAAATATATAATTAACATATATAAAGCCAGGGACGCTGAGGGGTGACAAGGGGAGGGAGGCATTTCTGACACTGAACTCTGTGCTTCCTCTCATTAATAGTTTTAATAACTCTTGCTGTACAGTGCACATATCCTCCATCTTCTTTAAAATGCTCATGCTGTGGCTAGTGAGAAAGTTATGGAGCTTCAAACTGCACGACTGGGGCTGTGACTCTGAGGACAGATCTGATTCTGATTTCAATCTGTAATGATCGTTGATTCTGTTAACCATGTCTGCTACTTTGTGACTCCATATTACCACTGCAGATGAATTAAATATCAGTATCCTGCTGCTTTAACAATGTATATGTGTACTGAGAGCTAACAGTGAGTCAGGAATAGCTGAAATGGTTGGAGTTTATCAGTATCCTGTTCTTTAACCATGTGCACACTGTGCGTTGAGAGCTACTGGAGTAGCAGGCATCTTTCATAACAGCAGCAATATTTAACAGAGAGCTAAAGTTATCATAGTAGGAGCATTACTGAAGATCGGATCATGTAAGAGAGGGCTAGGCCCATCTCCTTATTGTGCCCAGCTCTCTGTATTATATCTTAATTCTTCTCAGCTCTTAGTATTTTATCGCTCTCTCTATGTTGTTAACACATGTTACAAATGATTTTACCTTTAAGAAAAGGGAGATTATTCAGCAAAACAAAAAATATGACGTCAAATAGAGGCAAATAGTTTAAATAAACCAGAGCCAAAACATTTCTACCAGATTCTCTCTATCATAGTAGCCAGGTTTGGCAGACAACCAGTACCTCGACTTATTGTTTACGGTAAATTGGGGGTTTACGCTGCACCTGGGACACAGTCTCGAAAGATGCCTTAGCTTTACACCATCTCCTGTCCAGACATCTCGTACTCTTCCAGGTGTGTCTGAAAGAAAGAGACCTGTAATAAATGAGAGAGAGGAGGAGGAGACCACAGCTGATGAAAGAAAGGCTATAATGACACCACACTAATGGGAGATTTTCATATAGTCGAGTGTTGAAAAACTGTAATCCAGATTGCAAACATAAATCATGCATTTATATTTGTCTAATTTACAATGTCAGAGGTTTCTGTTATGTAAACCACGTTTGTCTTATCCCAGCCACGAGCCGTGGCACAGCTGAGTTATCTTACTAGTTCTGGCAGAATTACAAGTTCATGCACAGGACTGACTTGTCCATAGGACCCAATTGGGCCATGGCATCAGACGGCATCTTGACTGGGTTGGCATTTTTGCAGTGAGGCTACCGAGAATTGGAAAAGAAATTCAGGGGTATCTGACTTGGGGTTAGCCGGAGAGACAGGGTTATAGACACATTTCCCACTAAAGTTCAGGCACTCTGTGATTATCTGACGTGTATGCCGGTGGTTTGCTGCACTTACATACATTGCGCAAGTGCTGTTGGCAGACACCAGGATCGGAGCGGCAGAATCACCCTCAGTGTCTGATTATCTGGGTGCACACACACAGACACACAATGTATCCGCAGCACACACAGACAAACATTGTATCCCCAGCACACACTGCACTCCCAGCACACACACAGACACACTGTATCCCCAGCACACAGACACACTGTATCCCCAGCACACACTGCAACCCCATCACACAGACACACTGTATCCCCAGCACACAGACACACTGTATCCCAAGCACACAGACACACTGTATCCCCAGCACACAGACACGATGTATCCCCAGCACACACTGCAGCCCCATCACACAGACACACACTGTATCCCCAGGCCCAGCACACAGACACACTGTATCCCCAGCACACAGACACAGACACACTGTATCCCCAGCACACAGACACGCTGTATCCCCAGCACACACTGCCACTCCATCACACAGACACACACTGTATCCCCAGGCCCAGCACACAGACACACTGTATCCCCAGCACACAGACACAGACACACTGTATCCCCAGCACACAGACACGCTGTATCCCCAGCACACACTGCCACTCCATCACACAGACACACACTGTATCCCCAGCACACACTGCACTCCCAGCACACACACAGACACACTGTATCCCCAGCACACAGACACATTGTATCCCCAGCACACAGACACGCTGTATCCCCAGCACACACTGCCACCCCATCACACAGACACACACTGTATCCCCAGCACACACACAGACACACTGTATCCCCAGCACACAGACACACTGTATCCCCAGCACACACAGACACACTACATTCCCAGCACACACACAGTGGATATGATACAAACCTCCAAATACCAAATAGAGATGAATTGGGGTAATGCATCTCTGTGAGACATGCGCAGCCAGGAAGAAGCATTGGAAAGACTGAGGTCATCAGTAATGATGATCTCAGCTATGAGAGGAGCGAAGTCATGGTCTGTGTAGCATTGGATAAAAGGTAAGTTAACCAAATATTTAATGAACACCGGGGGCCTATATATCTGCATAGGTAGGAGTACCTCTAACCTTATAAATATATGTTTGTATTTCTAACATTTGAATAACTGCTTATTTGAATAAATCAATTATGAGGAACCCTCTCTGAAGAGTCCACCATTGATGATGTTTTCACGTAATTTTCCATTTTCGTTTAAATGTATATTAAGGATTTGGCAACTGGCTTCACAAACCAGATCAGTTTAGGCAAACCCAGGGCATGCATTGCTAATGAGGAAACGGAGTAGAACAATTATTTAATGTATCCTCTTCTCTCTATGCTAACGCCCAGATGCACAGGACTGCTTACAACAATAATTGACAGAGAGCTAAGATGAATCTCTAGGTTAAACATGTAGATTTTTGCATTTAATATTAATTTTCAGACCTTAGAGATACCTATGTTAGATATAGGGATATATATTTTATGTTATTAAAGGGACATTTTAGGCACCAAAACATCTATATCTCAAACAATCAGGCTTCTAAAATTTGAGCCAGGCAGGGGCACCGCTGAGAGCGGTAAGCTGACGTTCTCAACCAATCAGTGACTTCCCATTCATAAAAAATGGCTTGAAAATGTTACATTTCATTTCAAACCAGTTTTATGAATGGGTAGTCACAGAAGCCGGATGTCACCTAGGGGGAGTTGAGATCAACGTTGGTGGCAACTTCAGGGTTAAACCGTTCAAGTACGGTTTAACCCCTTAAGGTTTGAGTGCATCCGGGGTCCTCCTGGCACCATAACAACTTAATTTAGATTATGTTTTTTATGGTGACTGGTGTGTTCCTTTAACCTAACTCATAGCAATTATCAGTCAATAATTATTTATCTAGTTACTAGTAACAAAGAGATATTGTTTATATGTTTTGCAGACTACAGAAAATTCTGTAACCAAATTTTCTTATATGTATGAATATAATGAACAATATACACAGAGTACAGTGTAAACAGACATTAAAATCAGAGGCCAATGCAGTGAGAGGTGGGATCACTGCCCAGAGGAGCTTACACTCTAACGTGTAGATGAGCACATACACAATGCAAATAAAAAAAAGATGTCTTCGAAGTTGAACATTCTGTCCTAGAATGTTTATACTTTAATAAGCAGATAAGAATTCAGACAGGTAAGGGGTGAAGCATTAGACGATAGACATTCTGTCCTGAAGAGCTAGCACTCTATGTAGAAAGAAACAATGTAATATCAAGAGCACTTTAGAGGGAGGTGAATTCAGCCCTTCAGGGCTAAAACGTATGAAGTATTGTCTTAGTTTTTAGACATAAAGAAAGACATTAGTAGAAATAAATCACATGTGTTAAAACTTAAAGTAAATTAATGCGAAGGGACAAGCACAACAGGACAGAGGAACCAGATGGTGGAGATAATTCTAGCCTGCAGAGCTTACTCACTAATCTGTAGACAGAAACAATATATATATTTAGTTCCTCTCTGTCCTTAGGTCACACTTGTGTTACAATAATAAT